ATGCAAGCATGCATGCAGAGCCAGTGATGTTATGCTATGTTAGCTTATAAATTATAAAGTGTTTCGCTTATTTTCATCATATCCTGTTCTAACATTTTAATGAGTTTTAATGATGATATGTTCGGTTAGTCATGAACATTAAAACTTAAATAAAAGAGTTATGGCCGAGTTATGATCATGATTAAAAGATCACAAGATTATTTTTAGTTCTATTGACTTGACATTTCATTTTAGTTTTTACATTTTAAGTTAGAAATTTATAAATAAGATGATTCTATGGAATAATTAATCTGTTTAGTTATTTAATTGACCTACTAAGTGCTTGCATTCATCCATTTATTATTAACTTCTTTTTCATTCAATCATTTCTTCATTCGTTTATTTATTCATTCGTTCGTTCGTTCATTTGCTTTCTGTCTCTTTATTGAATTCAATACCCTGCCGTGAAAATTGATTAACTGAATTAACTTAGTCATCAACACCATCATTATCGTCCTCATGACATCGTCATCGTCGTCATCCTAATCGTTACATCATCATCATCATCGTCTATATTTGCATTCATTTTGGCAAATTTATGATCTTATCATGAGAGATTTCAGTTCGTTCATTTCATCTTTCACTCGTTCCTTCATTTATTTGTTCAGCTCGATTCATATCTCAAAAGTTGCATTACACGAGTGGCGACAAAGTAGCCATCGAGGGACGACCAAATCAACGGCCACATCCAGCACATGCACAGATCAGCTACCTTGAAGAAAGACTATTCCACAACCGGCGCGCATCAACAGGCACTGAATATTGCACAACTCGACAGACTTAAGACTTAATTTTACCTAGGCAGATTCCCAAAGAACTTAACGTCTCTTGGTAAATGATGACTTACTTATCCCACGCACTTGATGAGAACGTTGTAGGAGTCAGTGATATGTGTCTCTTAGAGCCTCTCACCGAAGACAACTTCGTCGACAACTTAACTCACAGATTTGCCAACGACCTCATATATGTACGTACTAATTATTCTCCTTCCCAGTCACATCCATCTACGTTGCCTATTTAATAGTATTATTACTGTTAGAAGTTGTTGTTTTGTTGAGGGGCTATTATTGTAACATTGCATTAGATGTCTTCTTGATATTGTGTTAGTGTGTTTATATTATAACTTAATATAACAGTGGAAGAATGGTCTGCAAGATTTGTAATTGCTTCCATCTTAATTGCATGTTGTTCGTTAGTCTGCTTGTTTTATGTACGTACGGATGTCCGTTCGTCTGTATGCTTGTATGTATGCAGAGGGTGTTTGAGATTGTTAGCTGACGTAGCCAAACATGTTTCGAATCCTGCTCTTTAGAAATAGGAATGGACACGAAGCATAAATGTATAAAGAGCATAAACAGATAGGTTACATGTAATTTGTGCATCTTATCATAACATTCTTAAGATAAATTGAGTGAAGTTGACTTTATTTTAATATTATCATTAATTTCGATAACATCTATTGTTTAATGGTAAACTGCTGTTTCTTCTAATTGAAATTAGTTCAACCGACCGATCCAGCCTGCCTACGTAACTAGAAAAATTTAAATATTTGCAGACGTACATTGGGAACGTGGTTGTCTCAGTGAACCCTTACAAGAAGCTGAACATTTACGCAGCAGATGTTGTGGCAAAGTACAGAAGCAGGAACATTTACGAGCTGCCTCCACACATGTTCGATTGCTGACGGCACATTCATTTTTAAAATGGCAAACTTTTTCATAATGTCCTAATTCATTCAATCTTTCTTACTTGACTTTCAGTCGTTCATTTATTTGTTTCTCCATTCCCCGCGCACCCATATACTCAAAGAATCGATCGAATTAATAAATAAACGAATAATGCATGTGAATAGATGGAAATGAAATTTTTTGAAGATACGCAATCGCCGATGACGCCTACCGCTCGATGCGAGACCACAACTTGGATCAATGCATCATCATCTCGGGCGAGAGCGGTGCTGGCAAGACTGGCTAGTATCGTCTTTCCTTCTTTCGTCGTTCACTCGTTCATTTATTCATTCACTTGTTCATTCGGTCGTTCGTTCGTCCGCTCGTTAGATCAATTTTTACTCAAACCCACCACTGAATGAATGAATGAATGAATGAATGGACGCGCGTGCAATGACGACACTTTTCAGAAGCTAGTAAGATAATCATGCAGTATGTGGCAGCAGTGTCTGGCAAGGGTCAGGATATTGATCAGATCAAGGAGAAACTTCTCCAGTCAAACCCCGTCCTTGAAGGTGAGAGGCAGAAGCTTGCTAGGCATATTTTTATTAATTATGCTAATTAGATGCTCCAACTTCAATGTAATACTGTGCCTGGATGTGGTAGTTAAGGTTTATCCTAAAAATCTGTACCGTTTATAATAATAATTACAAACCATGAGTCATGTGAATGAATGTTGAGCACCAACACTAACGTAATTTTTATGATTCCCGAAGCATTCGGTAATGCGAAGACGAATAGGAACGATAATTCCTCAAGATTCGTAAGTATTTCATATCTTCTGAGTTAATAATTATTGTTAATTTTTATTGTTGTTGACGATGGTGATGGTGGTAATGATGATTTTAAACATACAGGGGAAGTACATGAATATTGAATTCGATTACAAGGGCGATCCGCTGGGGGGTGTCATAACCAGCTGTAAGCTTATAAGGATGTGATGCGTGATGTTGATTGTGGGAATTATATGTTGCCATAGTAATAATAATGACTATATATGAAATGGGGATGGATTTGTAATGTTGCACTAGTATATACATTCTAATATAATATGTTTCAATCATCGTTCCAGACCTGCTTGAAAAGGTTAGAAATCTTATTCGTTTCAAAATATCTTAAACATTTTATCATATATTTTTTCACCATTATCACTATTTTCATCGGCATCATCATCCCCACCACCATTGTTGTTTCAGAGCAGAGTCATTCACCAAAGCGCGGGCGAGCGAAACTTTCACATATTTTACCAACTTGTCCATTCTTCTGATCGTCAATTGCTTGGTTGGTTCATTGGCTCATTGTTTGGATGGTTGGTTGGTTGGATGGTTGGTTGGCTTGCTGGTTATATTATATTATATTATTCTGTTATTACGCTGTTATTGCGTTACTATGGGTACAGATGAATTGAAGTTGACGAGCAATCCCGACGATTACTCCTACCTGAGCATGAGTGGGTGTACCCAGGTCCCTGGCCTCGATGACCAGCAGGCTTTCAACGATACCAAGGTGATGATGATAGATTGATTTAGTTAGACGCATGAGTTGATCGCAAAGGGGATGGTGTTGTTTGTTCCAATTTTTTTTAAATTAACTTAATGTAAAATTCATATCACATTGCAGAAAGCCTTTGATATAATGGGTTTCACCGGGTCAGACGTGCGGTTCATCTTTCAAATGGTGGCCTGCATACTGCACATGGGCAATCTGAAGTTTGTGACGAGGAGCAGCAAACATGGCGCCGACTGTTCAGCGCTGCTCAGCCATCAGAAGGGTTAGTTAAGTTGCTAGTTGATTATTCTTATTCTATGTTGTTGGCTGTATTGTTAAAGTTTTTTTTTTGAACAGAACTTGAAATATTAAAAGAATTGTTGGGTTGTGATGAGATGACGCTGCGACAATCTCTAACAAAAAGAACTGTCCTCACCAATAATGATAAAGTACAGACTGACCTGACATCTGCCGAGGTATCATCCAGTTAAAACTTCCATATTTTCCAAACAATAGTTTCATACGTCTGAATCAATCAATCAACCAACCAATCAATTAAATTTATTAACATTATGTATACAAGGCAAACTTTTATTATTTATAAAATTATATTCTTATCATGGCAGTAAAATTTAAGTCACTGTTGAATTGCCGGCAGGCTTCATACGCCAGGGACGCTCTCTGCAAAGCTTTGTACAGTAGATTACTTCTCTGGCTCATAGGCCAAATCAACGATACTATCAAGGTACTTTCTCCTTTTTTCGTGCCGTCTTTATTGTCTTACGATTATTACTTCATTGTACTTGTGATGTGCCAAGTTTTTCTTCTTAATGTAAAGGTGTCTTCAAAGCTGAAAATGAAATCAATGGGAGTTCTCGACATCTACGGGTTTGAAATTTTTGAGGTCCGTGTTATAATTGCGATTTTTTGTTAACAAAAAAAAGTAGAATGACACCAAAACAATATTTCAGCACAACAGCTTCGAGCAGTTCATAATAAATTATTGCAATGAGAAGTTGCAACAAATATTCATCGAGCTCACATTGAAACAAGAACAGGCAGAATACATCAGAGAGGTTGTTGCTGATGTTTTCGTTGATGCTGGCTGATGTCGTAATAATAGCTACTTGATTATTGAATGAAAGGTTTCATTAAATCTGCCAATACATTATTTATTCAATGTTTGAGTATATATATTTTATGTTGTCCGTGTTGTTTGTGTTTGTAATAAATACAGAACGTATGTTTAAATAATTTTGTCTGACACCAGGGCATTGAGTGGGTGAACGTTGATTATTTCAACAATTCCACCATCTGCGATTTGATTGAGAAGGTTTGTAGTCAATCAGTCAGTCAGTCAGCATTTCATCATCACCTATGAGAGTCATCACTGCTGTTTGCTCAGGGTTTTCATCATCACTGTCATCATCATCAACATCATCATCATCATCAACATCATCATCATCAACATCCTCAGAACAACACAGGTATCTTGTCGATACTTGATGAAGAATGCTTGCGTCCTGGTGACACGTCTGACATGACCTTCCTCGAAAAGATGACGTCATTTCAAGGTCAAGGCCTATAATCGCAATTATTTCTATCATTATTACTATCATCATCATCATTATCGTAATTATCATCATCACTGTTACAACTTGAAGGTCAGCATGCACATTTTGAAAGTAGAGCCTGCGTGAAGAGCAGGTCGGACAAGTCGCTGGCGCACGATGCATTTCGTCTGCTGCACTACGCAGGAAGTGTAAGTCCTGGTGATGATGAGGAGACGGTGGTGGCGATGGTGATGATGAAGTATGTGAATCATGCCGGGCACTTATCTGGGAGGCATGTACGCAATTATATGATTCAGGAGCAACAATAACATTTAAAATGATGCTCAGGTAGCACACCACAGCAACCGCAACTACAGTAGCAACAGCTACTGCAGTAGCAACCGCAACTACAGTAGCAACAGCCACTATAGTAGCAACAGCCACTACAGTAGCAACAGCCACTGCAGTAGCAACCGCAACAATAACCACGGCAACCACAACAGAAACCACACAATTTGCAGGTGACCTACAAAGTTGCAGGTTTCATAGACAAGAACAGCGATTTACTTTTCAGAGATCTTTCGAGGCTCATGTTTGCCAGTCCGCACCCAACGCTCAAACTCTTATTTCCAGAAGGTGAAATTTCTATTTTTTGTTTTTTATCATGTAGATTTGACATGGGTAGAACTGCTTACATTCTCTTACAGTTGAACTTTCGTGGCTGTCACAAAGGCTGGAGCATCCACACGACATGGCGCACAACACAGCACATTTCGTGTGTATGACAGACATTTTCACCGATCTGAGCTAACTTGCCCATTGAGTTGTTAACAATACTCAAAAGTTTATATTGTCAATACTAATACTAATACCAGCCCTAAAAATTATTGCCGATAACAATACCGATGCTAATTTTTAAAAGTTTTGCCGGCAATACCAAAAATGATAAATAGGTACATTCTGTTTTTTATACGGTTCTACGTGAAAGCGAATCTATTATTTTATTTACAATTATGTACCGTGTTCTGTAGTTATTACAAAACATAAAAATGATTGCCTACGGTCAATTGCTTGAATCATCAAATTTGAAGCAAGTTGAAATGAATATTTCATATCTAGGACAGGATTTTAAGATCTTGAAATAACACATAATTTTAAATCTCAATTTTAATGTAACGCACTCAATTTTGAAAATTGAAATGGTCTCTATTAAAAATTGATGCTTAAAAGTATTGGTATTGAATATTGATTTTTTCTGTCTAAATATCAATTCTCGATATCAAAGTCAATATTGAAAAGTATCACCTATAGTTATAGTTGGACGTTACCAGCCCTATAATATTGTTATTTGGAATTGTGCTACTGTTTCATACTTAAGAAGGAATGTTTTGAGGTGGCCTCCTATTAGACGTTAGCATCAATTCCATTCGCTCGTGCAGTTTAATGTTTTGAAATCTTGATTGTGCGGATTGCTTTAGTTTTTTATTTGTTGCAAAATGTTCTATAGGTTAGCCGATTGATTGATTTTAATTTTTTCCCAAAACGTAACCAGGAGACCCAGAAAAATTGAATATGAAGAGGCCTCCGACAGCTGGCTATCAATTCAAAGTACATTCGCATTTCATTACTTTAATTTTGTCTTTAGACTAGTTTGTGTGTCTGTATGTTTGTTTGTCTGTCTGTATGTATATACGTTTGTGTGTTTGTACGTGTGAGTGTATCCGGCTACTTTGCATGTCTTTTTATCTTCAGTTACAAATGCGTTGTCTTCTTTATTTGTACAATTTCTGTTATAAGAATTAATTTGTCATTAAAGAAGCCAATATTTTTAGCGATATCTAACATACATGTGTTTGTAATGATGGCAATGATGATGACCAAATTTCCTTAGATGTCTGTTTCAGAGTTGATGAAGAATTTGCAAGTGAAAAGCCCCAACTACATAAGGTGCATCAAGGTTGGGCCATCTTTATTTTTAAGAACCAGTCGTTTATTTTTTCATCCATCAACTATTCGTTCGTTCGTTCGCTCATTCATTTATTCATTCATTTTGTTTATTTGTTTTATAAATAAAATTTTTAATTTTTATTGAATTTTTGTTTAAATCAATTTTTTATTAGCTTTTTCTGAAAAGTTGTTATAGATTAATGAGTCCGTTGCTTCAAACATTTAATTAAATTGTTATTTTAATTACAATTATTCAAATGGCAAGTCAAAGATTTATTACGCTGTAAAAATTTATTTGTGAAACACCCTATAAGAAGTATGATGATGAATTAAAATATTTTCCAACATTCATCACTGCTGGAAACATTCATCACTGTCTGGCCTTACACAACTCATTTTCTCACCTTTTAACCAACCAATCAACCAATCTAATAACTAACCGACCAATAAAATATGCATCGGATCAACTAACCGACCGATTGGTAGCCGAATGATTTCAAGAAAAGTGACAAATTAGTAGAGGATCTTGTTAGACATCAAGTTAGATATCTCGGGTAAATTTGTACATTTTTCTCTTCTTATTTGATTGTTTCATATGTCTTTTTTGTTTGTTTGTGTGTCTCTGTTTATTTCTCTCTTTGTTTGTAAGTTTCTTTGTTTGTTTGTTTCTTTTTTTCTGAAACTTTATACGTTCTACTTTTTAACTGTTAATGATTTTTTTTGGTTTTATAGCCCATTTTTAATGACTGCAACATCATACGTTCAGGCTGATGGAAAATGTGAGAGTGCGGAGAGCGGGCTACGTGTACAGGCAGCTCTATGAGAAGTTTCTACATAGGTTGGCTGTCTTTAAACCATCAACATCATTGGCATCATCATGTGAACTAGTTTAAAATGATGACCGTACATAAGATACAAGATGTTATGTTGTGATACTTGGCCGCATTGGACTGCTGGTGACGCCAAAAGTGCTGTCAGCCACTTGTTTCGACACCTAATGATCGATCCGTCGGAGTTTGCCATGGGGATCTCAAAACTTTTCATTAGGAATCCGCAAACTGTTAGTTGCTGTTGTTGTTGGGACTGATCATATCAGAAATGCTGACATTCAATCAAGCTATTTTTTAAAATTTATTTAGTAGTTTTTTGTTGATTAAAAAATTAAAGATTGTCTATTAAAAATTTATCTCAACATTATTAATTTGTTAAAAAATCTAATGAACTGAATGAAGTATACATAATGATTGATGACACATTTATGAAAGCTCTTTTTATTGGAGAACCTCCGCAAGGAACAATTGCATAAGTTGGCTACTCTACTGCAAACTCTCTACAGGTCTTGGATTTGTAGGAAGAAATTCATTCGACTTAAAAATGCACAAACTATTTTTGCCAGTTTTTGGAAGGGATATAAGGTAAAGTCTGGTCGGCTGCTTCGTTGTTTGTTGGTTGATTGATTGATTGATTGGCTGGCTTGTTGGTTGGTTGGCTGGTTGACTAGTTATTGGAACGAAAAAATCGATTCACAGGAAAGAACTAATTACAGAAAAATCAGAAATGCAACTTTGGTCATATGTTCCTACGCTAGAGGGTGGAAGGTTAGCTTGTTTGTCGATTGTGGCTGCAACAGCAATGCATGATGACGTCATTTCTTTAAACATAAAATATTCATTATTTTTTTTATGTTCATTTACAATGTTTCTTTTCCAATCAATAGTTTATTAGTTAGTTAATTTAACAATGATGTACGTTCGCATTTAGTGCTTAATTCCCAAAATATCTTTCCGTAATGAAGGCACGACAGAGACTAGAAGAATTAAAAGTAGAAAAACGACGCAAGTTGGCAATCGAGGTCATTTGCAAATGTTATGAAGGCTGGAAGGTCAGGAAAACTTATAGGTCAAAGTTCAGATGTGTTGCCGGACCCCGCATCGTCCAATTTCTTGATAGGACATTTGTAGGCTACCTTTGCTCTTAGTTGCTCTAATGAAATGAATGCTATTGAACTAAACTATTTTGTCTAATTGAAGTTATTACTGTTATCGTTATTATTATTTTTATTATCCGGACAGAAATACAAATTTTTGATAAACTTGGCTCAACATCTGCCATCAAAATCTCCCACTGACGATTGTTGGCCTACATGTTCAATGAGATTCCATAGAATATCTCAATTACTCAAGGACCTTCATCACAAAAATAGGGTTTCTTTTCGTTCGTTCGTTTGCATGTTCTTTCTATTGTTTGTTTGTTTGCTAGATTTTTGTTGTTAGATGTTCATATGAACATGTTTAGTTGTCAACATTGAGTTATAAAACGAAACATCACGTTTGATGCGTGTGTTAAATATTTGATTTTTGGATTATCTTGGTTTTTCTTGTGACTTTCAGTGCCACAAATATCGCAAAAATTGCCCAGAAACTCGCCGCGCCATACTTAGAGAAAAGTTAACTGCAAGCAATTTATTTCAGCAGAAAGAACTTTATGCTGGGAGGTTGTTGTTGCTGATGTTTGTTTGTTTGTTTGTCTGTTTGTTTGGTTTGTTTGTTTGGTTTGTTTGTTTGTTTGTTTGCTTGCTTGTCTGTTTGTTTGTTTGCTTGTTATTTGATTGGTGGTTATTAAAATCAAATAACTTTTAATACTGTTGAATGAATTAAATATAAACTGGTGAAAGTCTGAATAAATTAACAAAATTAACGATTGAATGAAGAAGAAAAAATTAAAAATTCTAATAAATTGAACAACTATAAAAATTATTAACTGCAACAGTGTTCCTATTTATTTCATGAGTGACTACTTGAATTTGCCTGAAAATTCAAAATGGCAGAAATTCTTATCTTCATCATCTTCACATCCCACGGACGCTTGTTTGATTTTTGCCGACAACGTTCTTAAAGTTAACAGGAAAAACGGCAAAGTATATGAATTGTATTTTTTTATATATTTTTTTTGTTCTGCATTGATGACAAAGTTGCTCAAATTTCCGATAATGATTTTAATATTTTGAAACTTTCTACTTCCAAATTGTCAGTTTTACTAACATAGTTATCGACAAGAAATTAATTGTTAATTTTTGAGAAGATGGTGCGTCACGCATGCGTTGTAAGTACGGAAGATCTGCTAGTGCTGGATGGCAGGTCCATGGCACTCAAGAATCGCATCCCTCTCAAGCTCTTCTACAAAATTTCATGCAGTCCTTACATGGACTCGCTTGCACTTTTCCACGTTTCGCAAGTGAGTTGGCCGCTTTTTACAGATGTCATAATATAATAACATTACAGTAATGATCGTTACGATGTAACGAATTCTGAGCGTGCGAGATCAACATATAACTCAAAGCCCGTGGCAGTCGGAATCTTGAAATAATAATTTACAAGTCAATAATAATAATAATAACTCTCAGATACATTTTTAGTTTTTTTTCGTTTTTACTGAACGTATAAAATGTCATCATTTTGTTTTGTCGGCTTAATTAGTTTTTACATGAGCAATATACGAGCGATATATTTAAACAAAGCGTCTATTTAATATATAGTTCAACTGTTAACACATTGTTAACATATCAACAATGCTCACACATTAAAGACAACTGATAACAGTGGAGGACTGAAGAAAGGTGATTTCATACTGAGCACACCGCACGTCATTGAGATGGTAACAAAAATGTACAGGACAGTTCAAGATAAACACGTGAAACAATTCATTGTCTACATAGGCGAAGAGTCAGTCTTTAAATTATTGTTGTTATATATAATTACTTTTAAGTTTTCTACCAAAATTTTTTAATAATATTGGTCACCGTTTAAATAGATAATTAAAGTCATACATATTCAATAAATAAATGAATGGATATTAAATTTGGGATTTGAATATGTAAAGTATGTACTTCAATCACTTTTACAATCAATTCTCTTGGTTAATAGCGATTATTTTTCTATTACGTTGGTTGGGATGCATTCATAATGTTAATAAATTTCAGCATTTTTTTTTGTACTTTAGTATCGAGTCAACGATGCATGGTCAGAAAACGGACGTGATATTTAAGAACGCTGAGCTACGAAATAATCATTCTGAGAGAGAGGGCTTAGGAAAGAGTGCCAACAACGATATCAGAGGCAGTTGGATCAGTCCTCCCAACTCAAATTGTGCAAATGTCAAGGTTATGAGGAAGAATAATAAGTTGGAAGTAATACCACTGTACTAATAGAAATATTTTTTTTTTTACTTTATTTTCAAAGTTTTAACAAATGTTGATAAATAGACTCTAACAAGTAATTTTTATATAATTTTTGTAATTTTTTGCCATTATGTCATACATAATAAGTATTATCGCTTCTTTTGCTATTTAAATTTGTTCTTTAATCTTTTTTGATTTGAAATTTTTGTTGTTGTGAATATTTGCAATATTAAATTGTGAAGCATAATTAACCATTATATATAGTCCTGCAATAAATGTCAATTTTCCTCCTCGCTCAGCACCCTCACACATTACACACACTTTTAAGACGAAACAAACATTTACCTTTTAATTGGTTTCTTTGTATTCTTTATTTGAATGTCCCTTCTTTACAATTAATTGGCAAGAGATTCATAGACTACCTGCGCGGTTTTAAACGTAAATTAAAAACATCGATAAATTATTTTAAGCACTATTTTTATTCCGCTGCCAAGCTCGAAAAATAAGTTAACATGTTTTTTAGTTTTTTAAACAATTTTTAACATGTGCACATTGAATAGTTATATCAGGTCTTAACAATCATATTTTCTTAATATACGAAGTGCAAATGATTTTTTAAAATTTTCAAATTATTTGTTCATTAATCTTGGTTCTTAATTTTTTCACTTCAATGCCTATATTCAAATTTGTTAAATATATTTCATCAAATCCTAATAGCATTCTGAAAAATTTTATATTCAAAAACTAATTTGAAATTAGTTTTCTCAATACGAATTCTCAATAATCATGTCATAGTATGGCGTTGTATTTGAACACACGTAAATCAACGTGCCAGTTTGCTTCACTAAATCAGAGCCAAATTTAAAACAACGCGAACCACGGCGCGTGACTATTCATGATAGTATAGCAAATACATTACTCTCCTAGCTTACCTATAGCGAATAACTCATCTCACCTACATACAAATTTGCATTTATAAGAATTTCGAAAGATTGATCAAGATTGGCTTAGCTCAGTTCCTAACTTACCTACAGAAGCAGAGAATATAAAAGAAAAGCAATGAATCAGCGTTGCAGAGACGAAATAATTGTAAATGTGAATTAAAATGAAGGAATACTTATCTTTTTGCTTGGCTATCGATCATCCAATGAAATTAAATTAAAGTTTTTTTAAGTGTCAAGGTCGGTTCCTCCCTTTGATATGTTGTTAGGTCATGGTCATCATGTATGTTTGTGTGTCTGTGCGTGTGAATATAAGTAATGTAAGTGGGTGGGTGTAAGTATAAGAACTCGTTTAATAAGTATAAATACTGCCTTGTTACTAAAATTGTTATCATTGCTTCTAGTTATCCTTAATTTCTTTTCAATCATGTTTAGTTTTTGTTTCATTCGATAAAATCGAACATTCAACCAACCAACCATCCAATCAATCAATTAATTAACCAATCATCCAACCATTCATTCAATCACACATTCAAACAACTAATTAACCAACCAATCGACCAATCAATGATGAACCAAATTGAATGAATCAAATAAACGATCGAATTATGATAAAAGGAAAAAATAAATATTTGCAAGGCTTGCTAAGGCGCAAACAAACATTTAATCGCACATATCTACAAACAATTTTGAGATTTTAGTAAGAAAAGAAAACCACAATAGTTGCTTTTATTTGGTGTCATTAAAAAATGAAGTGACCGAAAATTAAAATTTTAAATATATCAATTTTTAAAAATTTCGTATTTTAAACAAAAAAATAAGACAAAATATCGACCGATAAAAAACTATTTTTTATAATTATACACACTCCTGAGTAGCTCTCGGAAAATAATTGATAGTAAAATCGGTGATTGTAGGCACCGAAACACAGGGTATATCGGATTTACTATTACGACATTATCAAGAAGTTTAACAATGCATACACAAAATGGCGCAATATAAAATCATCTACTGGATTCACACCAAATAAAAATAACAAGGGAAATATTAAACTCAAATACCAAAGTGTTAATTTACACTCATAATATAAGCAATTTGAGAATGGAAGAGGCTTCATTAATAGAAAATAGAAACCCTGTAATAAACATCCAACAGGCTTTAACGATCCTACCAATAAAGAAATTATTCACACAAAGAAACAATAGAACTTAGTGTTCCTTTGTTAAAATTACTATAAATACCAGATGAACTACATATAAACAATATCACAAACTCTATTACACTGATGATGGTAAAAGTTGCCGAAAAAAGCTTTTATGTAAATGTATATATGAAAAATGCGAAACATGGATTGCCACATTCAATGACGACTCTTCTACTTGTTTCACTCCGTCGTTCACTCTGGCAAATAAAAAATATTATTCTTTTAATTATAAATTAATTTAAAAAAAAAACAATATCAATATTCATTTAAACTGAGCTAAACTTCACCACAACAAACTTGCAATCATCATTCCAATTGTTATTAGGATAAAATTTATCTAAATATAATACAGATATACGCAATTTATGATATATGAAATGAGTAAACTATAATTTAAAAATTAAGTAATAAGTTATTTGTAGGTACCTTATTATCAAATTAGTCAATTGTTGTGCAAGTTCAATTTTGCAAGAATAAGATGGAGTGATGAAGAGGAGGATGAAGGAAGAGATCATGATGAAGAGGAAATTGATAATGAAGAAAGAGATAGATCAAAGAAAATAGAAGATCACTATGAAAAAGTACCAGTTAAATATTTACAAAAAACACATTTATAAAGCACATACAAATCTAAACAGCCTGATTCTAGATACCTCCAACAAAAGACCAACACAAAATTGTGGCATCCACACATTCCTGTTTTTGCTGTTGAGAGGTCAGCTCATTAATTTGGAAGTTGAAGTTGCACCCATTTTCTAAAAATTTTAAATTTTCTGTACATTTTTACAAACAAAACACTATTAAATAGCAACTATTAACAAAACTTAATTAACCGGTAATTCATTAAGAATCGTTGTAGCATCATTTGTGACAATAAATTTTCAAGATGGTTGGTGACCATTTTATTCTGGCCATCATATGCATTTTTAGTTGTGTTGGCTGATTCCCTTCCAGCCTTGATGTCACTGAATATCAATATGTACAGCTTCATCCAAGTCTATAAAGTGCTGGGTTTGAACAAAAATATTCAATTCATTTAATATAACAATGCTCTGTTCAATACACTGAGACACACGCACACACCACACACACATTTGTTTTTTGATTATACAATACTAATATCACATACATACCTCATTCTATCATTCACAACTTTATTTTATAGATATATTTCCACTTTTCCATATTTCCTTCAATGATGTGAACATTCTATGGGCTATTGATATCCTTCTGTCAATTTCTTATGTGCAGTCGCCACTACCTCGGGGAACAGGGTCTCTGGATCCAAAATGAAAATTGATTAATTGATTGATAGTATCACAATACAATATGAATAACAACAAATTATCTATCAAATAGATAGATAGATAGATAGATAAATATTAGATAGATTAAAAATTAAAATATAAAAATAATAGATTTAGATAGCAATAGATAGCAATAGATAGAGATTAGAATAGATAGACTGATAGAGAGAATGAATTGAATAGATAGATTAGAAAAGATAATGTTGAATGTTGTACTACATTCGGAAAGCAGTGGCAATGATAATAAATTTAAGAATTGATAATTAGTGACAAAATATAAAAATAAAAACAGTAAAATAAACTCAAACCCTGAAACTAGCCTAAAATTTTAAATCCGGCGCTAGTTCCAAAGGACAAAATATTAATTTAAAAGTGAATTATTCAGGTCGAACTATTTGACTTCGTTGGATTTATAGGCTTATGAAATTGCATGGTTTTTAACAAACAGTATCTTATTGAACAAAGTACTATCAAAAATGACTAAATATACATTTNTTTAAAAATTTAAAAAATTCTCAAAGACAAAGACATTTTTAAGAAAACAAGTAAAGAAGAAGCACAAACTTGAACGGCATTTAGTGAGAAGCCCCCTCGCCACGTCAAGGCAGCCGTTCATGAGGGGGTTAATAATAAAACGACAGTCTAGAAATAATAAGTAACGAATGTCTAGAAATAATAAATCACTTAACTAAAATATGACGAAAATAATTGTGTTGATTGTTCTGTTTGATTGCTTTGTTGGTGTTGTTTTGAAAAAAAAACAATACAAAACAATACAATACAAATAAACTAGAACGTAAGAGAGAAAGAATAGAGTTCCTAACTTACCTATGTTCATTAAATTAACTCACCTACCTATGATCAATTAGCTCAACTTACGAATTAATCCTACCTATTTGTACAATTACGAAGAAAAAAGTAAGGAAAAGAGAATAAAGCATCAAGCAAACAAAACAACGAATATATGTATGTATGTATGTATGTATGTACGTATGTATGTTTGTGTGTGTGTGTGTAGGTATGACCGCGCAATAATAATAACAATAAAATAAACGAACAAATCTAAAAATAATAAGTAACGAATAAAATAAACGAATAAATCTAGAAATAATACGTAACGAACGAAATAAACGAATAAATCTAGTAATATTAAGTAACGAATGGTCTAGAAATAATAAACAACCAAACTTATCTAAAATATAACAAAAATATTGTGTTGATTGTTGTGTTTGATTGCTGCTGTTGGTGTTGTGTTGAACAAAAAACAATACAAAACAATACAATATAAATAAACTAGAACGTAAGAAAGAAAGAATAGAGTACCTAACTTACCTAATTTCACTAAATTAACTCACCTACCTATGTTCAATCAATTAGCTCAACTTAAGAATTAATCCTACCTATTTGTACAATTACGAAGAAAAAAGTAAGGAAAAGAGAATAAAGCATCAAGCAAACAAAACAACGAATGTATGTATGTATGTATGTATGTATGTATGTATGTATGTATGTGTGTTTGTGTGTGTGTAGGTGTGGCCGCGCAATAATGTATGTATGTGTGTTTGCGTGTGTGTA